TGGCATGTCCTCTGAAAGACCCACTGGGCTTCTTTCTGCCTCCACTGGTGAGGCGATTGAGGGAGTGGGTTCCCATTGCCCCAAAAGCATGGTGTGGTGGGGTAACCTGTGGGGGACATGGCAGTAATAGGGAGAACCAGATAAATAAATGTCTGGTCACGTTGTCAGCGAGTCTGTGAGACCACGGCTGGCAGGAGGAGGCTTGCTGGTCTCATGTGACAAGGATTTCCAGGGCCCTTCAGCTGCCACCTGATGGGAGCTGCATAGGGGATTATTGATGAAGGGGAGGCGAGGCAGCTCTTTACAGTAACACATGCCTCGCCCTGGGACCGCGGCCAGGCAGCTAATTAGAGAGCCCAGCAGCTGTCCAGCCTTTCAGGCAGCAAGCAGCAGTTACCCAGTGCCAGGAGCCAGGGGGACAGGAGAGGGGCCTGGGGCCAGAGACCACCCTCTGAGGTACAGGGACTGGGCTGTCAGGGTTCATGCAGAGGGAACATGGGAGGGCCATGTAAGTTAGAGTGACCTGGAGGGGAGGCGGGGAGGAAGAGAGGACAGGTGGCCTCCAGGTGAGACAGAAGGCAGGGTGGCGAGATGTCCAGCCAACAGAGAAACCCAGATGCCGAGCCCTGAGGGAGCGGGCCCAGAGTAGAAGGCAAGGTCAGGTGGAGTCCATCCCGTCTTCACCGCCCTTGCCTATGCCAGTCAGGTCCCAGGGCCTGGGCCTCCTCGCTGACCAGGGGATTGGAACCCCAATTATATATGTAACTGAGTGTGGTCACTCCTTGGTTTGGGAAGTTGCCAAATCCACTTGTGTTCAGGGCTGGTCTTCCTGCAGGACAAGTACAAGCATTCGTTCTGTGTCACAGGGGAAGAACTGGGAGGACTTTGAGTGACCAGAGGGCTCGCAATGGCCCTTTGGGGCAGCTTCTCTTTCCTTCGTGGGAACCTGCGGTGAAGTAGACTTGGGGAGAGTTAAGGAAGAGTAGAGTGGGAGAGACAGAGGGGTAGTGTGCTTCCTGGCTCCAGTCTCAGGTTCTGGGCCATTTAGATGTGGGCGGTGAGTTGGGGTAGATTTGTTGTTGGTTTTTTGTTTGTTTCTTGCTTTTGTTTGTTTAATCCTCACCTGACGATATTTTCCCATTGATTTTTTTTAGAGAGAGTGGATGAGAGGGTGTGAGAGAGACACGTCGATTGGTTGCCTCCTGCATTTGCCCCAACCGGGCCGTGGGGATCGAGCCTGCCACCGGGGTACATGCCCTCGACCAGAGATCGAACCCTCGACCCTTCAGTCAGAGGGCCGACACTCTAACCACTGAACCAAACCAGCCAGGGCTAGATTTGTTTTTTTAGGTTCCCGTCAGAGAAGCAGAGATTCAATCCTGCAAACCCAGCTTACCCTACATAGTTACAGGGGAGGAGAGAGAATGATGCAGAGGGAATTTCCTGCCAGCAGCCGCTGGGTAAACCTCTCTGGGAAATGAATCCCACTTGTGTGAAAACTGGATGTGCCTTTTGAGAGGGCCAGCACCTTGTAGAAATAACAGAACAGGCATTGTCAGTCTCTGGCCTGACCCTGAGCTTGGAGCCTGCGCTGTCCCTGGGGATGCCTGGGACGCTCCAGTCCTGCCCCAGACTTTCTCAAGTGACATGTCTTCTGGATTGTCTAGACCCAAGGCACCCACCTCGTCTATCCACACCGCTCAGTCCAGGTGATGGCTCTTGGGAAGCGGGAGAAAGGGGCATGAGCATCCTTCTTTCTTCCCTCATCTCCAGAGAAAGCCCTTCCTTGCTGATAGCCTGAAAATGGGAGGAGATCCCCAGCCATCACTATGTTTGGTGAATAACACTGGATGGTGCAATCCCCCAAGAATTTAGCTGGGCCCTTCTCTTCCTTGTGTGTCTAGCCATCAGACAGACATTTCATGGTCTTGGAATTCATTCTGTGGAGCGGGAAACAGACACATAATGATTTTAAAGATGGAGCAGTGTTTCTTGTTTTACATTTATTTTTTAATTTAAATATTTATTGTTGAAATATTACATATGCCCCCCTCCTTCCCCCATTGACCCCTTCTAGTCTGCCCCGTCCCCTGCCCCAGGCCTTCACCACCCTATTGTCTGTGTCCATGGGTTATGCATATATGCATACACATCCTTGGGTTGATCTCTTCCCACCCACCCCTGCCTTCCCTCTGAGATTCAACAGTCTGGAAAATTACGTTTCAACAGAAGGATGTTCAAGGGCCTGTGGGGACATTGGTGATGGGGGACTGTGGGAAGATGGCATCATCGTCAAAGGGGTGAGGTGGGAGCAGGGTCTTGGAGGAGGAGTGGGTGCGGTGGGCTGCGGAGGAGGCAGGTAGAGAGGCTTGAAACCGTGTGGGGGTCTCTGCTCTTCAGGCTCCTAGCAGCGCCTGGCCTGTCCAGGGAAAAACTGTATGGGCAGACTCGGCTGTATGTTTACAAATACGAAGCTTGCAGAATGGACTAAGTAGATGACACTTAACGAAGTGCAGACATGTGCCTTAAGAGTGGGATTGGATCGAAAGCATTTTGAAGGCCTGCTGCATGGGGAGGAGAGTGACTCTAGAGCCTGAGGACCAGGGTTTGAATCAAATGTGTGGATTTGGCCCAATTTCTTAATATCCTGAGACTCAGTGTTTTCATCTCTAAAATAGGAGTGAGGGGTGATAATTCCTGCCCTCCCCGCAGGAGTCTCAGCGAAATCATGAGAGATGATATACTCCAAAAAGTCTAAGTTCTACGCACATGCTCCTCACACATTCATGTACTCTATCAACGGGTTCAGGCCAGGCAGCCCACAGAGGAGCCTAATGCCCTGTGCACCCTGGGACCTACTCGAAGGGGCCAGGAAGTGCTGGAGGGGGCTGGGACTCCCCCCCCCCCCCCCCCCCCCACCCCCCCACACAAAGTTTCAGAAATAATAGGGAACAGATGGCAGAAATATTTAAAACTCTGGTGTGTTTTTTTTAAAAAAAAACAAAACAAAAATAATCAAGATTTCATTTATTTGGAATTTTCTCTACTTAGGAGAAAACTGTTTTCCATGAGAAAGAGCATCTTCACAAAATCCAGCCCAACTTTTTAAAAAATCCCTTTAATCTAATTTAAACCAAAATGAAGTGTTCTTCCCAACGCGACCTGGATCAAGATTGATTCAGAACTTAGATGGATCTCAGATGTGTGTGTGTTAATGGAAGAGCATCTGTGGGCGATTTGTCTGGTGTCTGAGGGCCCTCCACGGATCCCACGCAACTGACCACTGAACAAACCACATCTGGAGGTGGAGGAGCCCTTGTGCAGACTGGAGCTCATGCTGCTTAAATCTCCACACACTCTGAGCACTGCAGGGAGAACGGGCCTGGTAGTAGCACGATACCATCACCTCCTCATCCAGCCCCCACCAGCTCCCTGGGGAAGACTAGGAAGCAGGAGGTGTCCTGCTCTGACTGCCTCGGCTTCATCTGCCAGGGTGGTACCTCAGCCAGCAGTGGGCTGGGCTCTCAGGGCTGACTTCAGCGACCAGCAGGCTCCGCTGCCAGGATGTGGGCTTTGGTTCCTGTTTCTGTTTTGGTTTCGACTTGTGCGGTGGATGTGGCCTGCTTAGGGCCCAGGGAAGGGGACGTGCCCGTACTCAGGGGTGGCATCGAACTCCCCAGGCACAGGGTCATGGCGGTGCTGGGGTGTCGAACATGCCCCGTTAAAGCCCTTCCTCGAGGGGATAGGTATGTGCCTTGGTGATCTCTTGCCCACCATCAGGCAGGCAGGGAGCCGGGAGGAGGCTGAGGGGTGGGGCAGGGTTGGAGGCTCCTGTGTGTGGAGGAGATGGGAGGGACAGAGGCAGAGCCCAGGAGCCCAGTGCCCCGCACAGCCTCTGCCCTTCATTTCTCAGCGCAGGGGAGAGACCCAGGGGTGCACACCGTCTCCACCCACCAGCACAGGTGCACACAATGGATTTCAGGTCCCCAACCCCTGCCCTGTCACTTCTTGCAAGTTGTCAGCTTAGGGAGCAAAGGCCTGAGACACCTCTGCTCATAGGGCCTGGGGTGGGGCAGGGGGGAAGGTGACCGTAGGTGTCAGCAGGGGGTAGCCCCTCTGTGGTCCACCCTGTTTGGCCATCCAGGGGGGATGGCGCTAACTGCCCTCTGCTCTCCCCACTCCCTAGTCTTATACTCTTGTCCGCTTCCGAGTGGCCAGCGCCTCCTTCCATAGGCCGTGCCGCACCTGTCCTTGGACTTGTGCCGATGGTGCTGTGTTTAAGGGGTCCTCAGGGAAGCTTCAGCACCTTCATATTAAAAAATAAACCTGGGAATCTCTATCAAACGGTCAAGTCCTAGGGATTTATTGGAAACATGCACGTGGCCAGGGACGTTGTCAAGTTAGAGTTAAGCAGCTGTTGTCAGTTGCAGATGTTAATATGAAGGCCTCCACAACAATAATGACAAAATAATAGAATGAACTAAGTATTAGGGTGGTGGGACTGTGGGTAGAGGGGTTAGCACCTATTTTGATGGTGTGCTTGTTGTTGTAACTCCCTAAATGCTAAAACCAGCATCTGACAGTGCCTACCCTCCATGGGGCTCTTGACCCCCCTTTGGGAACAGATGTACCCACTACAGGGTGAAGGTAAGAAGCTGAAGCTAAGTAAGAATGGAGCTGGATTGTGAGATTATATCCGCTCTCTGATTTACGAGTGAGCACACATTCCCTTGTGGTAAAAGAAGTCCTGAGTCCTGGCCCCACTTGGGATGTGACTTGGGATGGATCCAGGGTTCTCGTTGCTGGATTAACCAGACCCGAGCAGACAGGCCAGCCTGGAGGAGGTGGCCGGTTCCAGGAAAGGGATCAGGCAGTGCGGACAGGACCAGTGTCTAGTGCTGAGCCTGAAGCTGGGCCCTTGAGGCTGCTTCTCTGGCTGGCCCGGTGGCTCGGAGCTGGGGAGAGTTTAAGCTAAAGAACATCTTCTCTTTTATTCCCAGGGACACATGGAAGCCACCTGCCCACGAGCCGAGGATCGGCTAAGCCCTGGGACTAATGCTTGCCCACGCTGCTGAGAATGGCACGGTCGCCCAACCAGGCACCAGGACAAAGGTGAACCCAGGACACTCCTGGACAGCGATCCTGATGTCTGTGCTGAGCTGCGCACTGAAGGGTGTGATAAGTGAGTGTGTTACAGGCTCCCCGGGGAGAGCCAGCCCTCGCGGCCTCGGCAGGGTGGAACCAGGTCAGGAAGTCCTGGCCTGAGCCTGCGTTCTGTCCCAGGGCCTGCCAGGGCCCCCGTAACCCCTGTCCAGGGCCCCCGTAACCCCTGTCCAGGGCCCCCGTAACCCCTGTCCGGGGCCCCTGTAACCCCTGTCCGGGGCCCCTGTAACCCCTGTCCAGGGCCCCCATAACCCCTGTCCAGGGCCCCCGTAACCCCTGTCCAGGGCCCCTGTAACCCCTGTCCGGGGCCCCCTTCTGGAACTGTGCATTAAGAAGTAGTCCCAGAGGAGAATAGGGCGGGAATGGGCGGGCAGGGTCCAGCAGTGTCAGGCCATGTCCCTTGCTGGAGTCATGGCCTCTAAAAACGAGGCCAGACTCAGAGGCGACGTGAGTGGCATGAGACACCCAGCACCCAGGAGACGCATCTTCCCAAACCCTCCTTGTCTGTAGGCTCACGGGTGCTTTGAGCCTTGGGCTCCACTTCTGTCAATAGGAACTGTGCCTCCCCTGGGACTTGGACTCTGCCCAGATGCCACGGTCAGTTTCTGTGACTCGGGTAGAGCATCCGGGGCACTGGGAGGTGAGGGATTTGTGGCACCTGAGCTGCCATAAAACTGGCCATCGGGGCGTCTGCTGCTTTTGTCCCATTACCCGTGTCTCCTCTTCAGTCCAGATGAGCTTCGTGTAGGGAGAGAGGCCCCCCAACTACGGAGCATCGCCTGTCCTCATGCGGCCTTTTCTTCCCAGCCTTGGCCTCTGGCTTTTCCTGGATGATGCTTTTAAGTATGACCATTGTCAGCATTTCCAAGCCCCAGAGGCCTGAAGGCTGTTCTGTGTGTGGGACCAGGGACCAGCAGGCAGAGAGCCCCCCTGGAAGGCAGGGCAGGGAGAGGGGGTGCTTTTGCACACCTGACTGGACAAGCGTTCAGGAGCAGCTGGGCTGGTCCATGGGAGCCGGAGCCTTCGGTTCCACGGAGGAGCTTGCAGGAGGGAAGAGAGTAACCAGGCATTTCTCAGCTTTAGGTGGAGCTTGACTCTACTGCCAGCTGAGAGTGTACTCAGGGCTAGAATCTGTTTTCACTGAGTTGGGACCTGCAAAGTCAGTCTGTGCTAGGAGGGTCTTTCAGGAAGCGTGCTCTTGGGTTGCTTGGTGGCCGGCGTGTTGTGAGTGTGCCTGGACCGTGGGAGTGGCGTGGGGGTGGAGAGAGGCCCATGGAGGCCGCTGTGGGAATGCGGTGACTCAGTCAGGAGACCTCTTACCCACATAACACAGACTTCCCCAGAGCAGTCTACATCACCAGCCTTAAAACTGTGGTACCCTCTGTCCCGTGAAACCACTTCTGGAATTACTCACTAACAGATAGTCCCAGAGAAGAAAAGGGCTGAATTATTTTGTTAAGGCATAAAACAAGATGTTTCTTTGGTGTCGGGGTAACAGTGGAAATGGGAAACAGTTGTTCTCCCTTTGTTGAACATCTGTGTTAAGCAAATTATAATTTTCTACTTGTGGAATATTACACAGCCATTATAATAATGAGCACATAGGCAACACACCAATTTGGAAAAACAGTTATGATATAATAAGTGCTAATACCAGGTTACAGAACAAGTACATTCGGGTAACTTGTAAAATAAACTTGTGAGAAAAGATTGCAAAGAGGAAATGATAATGGCTGCTAGTTTGGTGGAATTATGAGTGACTTTTCCTCCTAAGATGCCTGGATTTTCTCTTAAAACAAAATTTAATCTGGATGAATACACAACCCACCATTAATGGTGACTTTCTCTATGATGTGGGGTGATGGGGGACTTTGCTTTCTAAGCCATTCCTTTCTATAATGTTTAAATTTCAAATGTGAGCATGTTACATTCGTAATCAGAAAAAAATAAAAAAGATATTTTAAAATGATAGAATTGAAATCTTAAAAAACAGGAGAAAGAGGAGAATAGAAAGGTTAAGCTGGCTAGCTGTTTATATCTGCCCTCATCAGTGTTTAAGGGGCTGTGCCTGCTTGGGCCCATTCATTCATTCATTCATTCATTCTATAGGCAGTAGTGGGTCTTGTTGCCAGGCACTGTCCTAGGCACTGGACAGAGCCCCTATCCTGATGGATCTTTTTCTCTAACTAGGTGGGAGAGGGGGTAAGACAATGAACAAGTAGCAAAATATCAGAATGTGAGAGTGCTGTGAAGAAAATGAAATGGGGTGATGAGAGTGACAGGGAGGCGATTTTGGATCGGAGATCAGAGGTCTGAGGGGTGACCGTTGACCTGAGACCTAAATGACAACAGGGAGGCAGCCACATGAGGTCTGGGAGAGCCTTGCCAGCCATGCACAGGGTGCCCAGCCTACAGGACCATCCGCGAGTGCCCTTTGTTGCTTGAGCCCTGTAGAACCTCTGTGTCAGGGCTGACGGTCCCTCAAGCCCACTTACCCCTGCGCCTGCCCACTGGGATTTGCTTAGTATCTGAGACCTTCCCCTGCTTGCTGGCCCGTGTGGAACGGTTGCCCCTGACACTCTGGCTGCTGTTGGTCCAGGCACAGGGCTTCTCTGGCCAGCCTGCGCGTTGGCCACTGCTCCTGGCGGGCAGGGCTGGGCCATCTGAGATTCCCAGCAGTATCGGGGCAGCTGGCAGTTAGGGAGGCTGCGGGTAATGCGTGTCCTGGTAGGGGATCTTTGAATGGCACATACCTTGAGGCCCTGAGAGGTGGCTGCCCTGGTCCTGAGAGGGTCAGCTTGTGACCCTGGAGGACCTTTGTGCAGATCCTGCCAGACCTTGGCCTCAGAACAGAACATGGCCTCCCACAACAGTCTGAAAGCCTTGGTAGCTCCAACACCCGTTCTGAGCTTCACTGATGATCTACCTTAAATCTCATATCCTTCTTGTTTCCTGGTGTCTCTCCATATACCGTCCAGCTTTCCAGAAGCAGAAACTCGGAAAATGGTAGTGCCCTCAGAGGAGCCTGTAGTCAGCTTCGAGCAGTGCAGTGTACTGGGGGGACTGAAGACTCTGGAGCTGGGCTCGAGTCCTACCTCTGCCTTGTACAGCTATAAGAACTTAGGCTAATTATTTAGTCTTTCTCTGCCTCAATTTCCCCATCTGTAAAATGGGCTTGAAGAATATCAGAGTTAATACATGGAAAGTGCGGAGAAGATGCCTGATTATTAATATTACTAGAGGCCTGGTGCATGAAATTCATGCACGGGTAGGGTCCCTAGGCCTGGCCGGCGATCAGGGTCGATTGGGGCCTTCCAGCTGCCAGCCGGGGCCTCCCTTCCCTGGCTGCCAGCTGCTGGCCGCTGGCTGGGGCCTTTCTTCATTCCGCACCGGCCTCTGGTGCTCAGCGCATGTCATAGCGAGTGATAGAACTCCGGTCGAACTCCCATGGGGACATTTGCATATTAGCCTTTTATATACATAGAAGATTGTGCCTGAGAGGTGGAGGGAGGACCATCCCAGGGTACTTTCCTAGGGGATACCCACAGCAAGAGAGGGTGGAACTCTGGCATCTGGGCCAGCCAGTGACCACAGGTGTTTTCCCCCACTTGCTTCCCTTCTGGTCCGGAAGCAAGCTCATGTTGTCCCCTCCCCCGAAACTTGATAACCACAGGGGAAGCTCAAGATGCACCCAGATGCCCAGATGCAAGGGCAGCTCATGGATCCCACTCACCTGCAGTACAGGCTCTGTCAGGGACCTGGGCTCACGGTCACTCACGCCCCACCCCCACCCTCTTGCCCTCAGGGCTGAGCCCCGCTGCATCTCCCCAGAGCATAAAACTGTAGTGATTTGTGTACCTGGGGATGGGGAGTGAAATTTGGGAAGTGGATGGGGTGAAAGAGGAAGGCTTACTTGGCCTGGCTACATGGAGGGGAAGCCCAGTTTTCTAACAAGGTGCTCCTTTGGACCTTAAGTCATTGTGTGTGGCACCTCAGCTTCCTGGAACAAGATGGGAGTTTTTGGCAAAACCGAGGACAGTCATCTCATCTGGTTTTGCTTCCAGCCTGCCTTGGGCTTTTATGCATTCTCTTCGCTCCTCTCAACTGCTAGCTCTGCTCTCCGGCACCCTGAGGAATAGCTCAGCAGGCCCTGAGAGCAGCGGGGAGACAGTCCTAGGGAGCAGGGCTCTGGAGGCAGCCCCCTCCCCTCCCATCACCCGTCCTTGGAGGAGCCGTGTGCTGCCGGGAAAGTCCTTGAGTCCTGGCCCTTTGCTGGAACGCAGTGTTCCCAGCCCCATTGACCAACAGGTTTGAGGAGTTTCATCGACACTTGTACTTACTCGAGTGCTGTTCCCCCAAATCCCTCTTGTGAGACTGTCCACACTTTTTTCCTGCCTTCAGTCTGGCCCACACTCTCCTCTTTACTCCACCCTAAACGTTCTTGCCCGGGCTGTTCCATTTTTGTGTCCTGGTTCTCAGGATGGTGTGTTTGTCACCAGGAGAAAGCGGCCAGCATCCAGCGTGCTCAGTGCGCTGCGGGCTCTTCCGGATCCGTTTCTTCCCAGGGCTCCGATCCCAGGGCCGAGCGAGGAGGTACGGGAAGGGGCCGGGGCAAAGGCTCAGGTGGGTGGAGGCCAGGCAGGGATAGGTACCTGTTGGACCTAGCCGAGGGTGGGTGAGCTCAGGGGAAGCAACGGCACCTGTGGTTATTAGACATGGGTTTGGGAAGTGGAGTTCTGAAAATCCCCCCGAGACACTGCCTGCCTCTAACCTTAGTGTCTGTCCCATCCCAGCTGACGACACTATCTTACCTCGAGGTTCCTTGTCTTCACCCCCATCTCCTGGCCCCAGCCAGGACTTCCGGGTTCTCCCATTTATCTTGCATGAACCAGGCGAGTTCTCTGGCACGACACCTCAGATGCGGTCTGGCCTTGCTTAGATATGCTTCCCCTCCACCTACCCCCGTTCTTTCAGGCACAGAAGATCCCAGGAACAGAACCCAGGCCTCTGGCACCCCGT